AAAAACGGGTTGCACTCTGAAATTGAATCCATTTAACGTTTGCATGTTTGTGAAAAAACGGGTTGCACTCTTAAATTGAATCGATTCAATGTATTTATGTGTGCAAAAACGGGTTACACTCTTACGTAGAGTCTATTTTGGCCATGAAGGTGTGTACAATAACGGGTTGCACTCTGAAATTGAATCCATTTGATGTGTGTGTGTGTGTGTGTGTGTGTGTGTGTGTGTGTATGTACAAAAACGGGTTACACTCTTAATAAAATATCTTTGGGGTATATAGGTGTGTGCAAAAACGGGTTACAGTCTTATGTTTTATATATAATCTATATAAGGTGTCTGTACGTGTGCAAAAACGGGTTGCATTCTTAAAGTGCATATGTCAAGTGAATATAGATGTGTACAAAAACGGGTTACACTGTTAAATTATTTGTTTTTAGAGTATATAGTTGTTTGCAAAAACGGGTAACACTCTTATAAAGAATCTAATCCGGCTATATAGATGCGTACAAAAAAGGGTTGCACTCTTAAAGTTGAAGCCATTCAAGGTATATATGTATGTGCAAAAACGGGTTACATTCTTAGATCTTAGATACAGGTGTGTACAAAAACGGGTTGCACTCTTAAATTGAATTGATTCAATGTATTTGTGTGCAAAAACGGGTTACACTCTTACGTAGACCCTTATTTGGCCATGTAGATGTGTACAAAAACGAGTTGCACCCTGACATTGAATCCATCGAACGTTTGCATGTTTGTGCAAAAATGGGTTACACTCTTAATTGAATCTCTTTCGGGTAAATAGGTGTGTGCAAAAAAGGGTTACAGTCCTATGTCTGATATGCAATCTTTTTGGGCTATAAAGGTGTGTACAAAAACGGGTTGCACTCTGAAATTGAATCGATTCAATGTATTTATGTGTGCAAAAACGGGTTACACTCTTACGTAGAGTCTACTTTGGCCATGTAGGTGTGTACAATAACGGGTTGCACTCTGAAATTGAACCCATTTAACGTATGTGTGTATGTACAAAAACGGGTTGCACTCTTAATAGAATATCTTTGGGGTATATAGGTGTGTGCAAAAACGGGTTACAGTCTTATCTCTTATACATAATCATTTCTTGGCTATAAAGGTGGGTACAAGAACGGGTTGCAATCTTAAATTTCATCTATATAAGGTGTCTGTACGTGTGCAAAAACGGGTTGCATTCTTAAAGTGCATATGTCAAGTGAATATAGATGTGTACATAAACGGGTTACACTGTTAAATTATTTGTTTTTAGAGTATATAGTTGTTTGCAAAAACGGGTAACACTCTTATAAAGAATCTAATCCGGCTATATAGATGCGTACAAAAACGGGTTGCACTCTTAAATTGAATTGATTCAATGTATTTATGTGTGCAAAAACGGGGTACACTCTTACGTAGACCCTTATCTGGCCATGTAGATGTGTACAAAAACGGGTTGCACCCTGAAATTGAATCCATTTAACGTTTGCATGTTTATGCAAAAACGATTTACAGTTTTAATTGAATCTCTTTCGGGTAAATAGGTGTGTGCAAAAACGGGTTACAGTCCTTTGTCTGATATGCAATCTTTTTGGGCTATAAAGGTGTGTACAAAAACGGATTGCACTCTGAAATTGAATCGATTCAATGTATTTATGTGTGTGCAAAAACGGGTTACACTCTTACGTAGAGTCTACTTTGGCCATGTAGGTGTGTACAAAAACGGGTTGCACTCTGGAATTGAACCCATTTAACGTATGTGTGTATGTACAAAAACGGGTTGCATTCTTAATAGAATATCTTTGGAGGGGTATATAGGTGTGTGCAAAAACGGGTTACCGTCTTATCTCTTATACATAATCATTTTTTTGCTATATAGGTGGGTACAAGAACGGGTTGCACTCTTAAATTTCATCTATATAAGGTGTCTGTACGTGTGCAAAAACGGGTTGCCCATTCTTAAAGTGCATATGTCAAGTGAATATAGATGTGTACAAAAACGGTTACACTGTTAAATTATTTGTTTTTAGAGTATAAAGTTGTTTGCAAAAAACGGGTAACACTCTTATAAAGAATCTAATCCGGCTATAAAGATGCGTACAAAAAAGGGTTGCACTCTTAAAAATGAAGCCATTCAAGGTATATATGTATGTGCAAAAAACGGGTTACATTCTTAGATCTTAGATACAGGTGTGTACAAAAAACGGGTTGCACTCTTAAATTGAACTGATTCAATGTATTTATGTGTGCAAAAACGGGTTACACTCTTACGTAGACCCTTATCTGGCCATGTAGATGTGTACAAAAACGGGTTGCACCCTGAAATTGAATCCATTTAACGTTTGCATGTTTGTGCAAAAACGATTTACACTTTAAATTGAATCTCTTTCGGGTAAATAGGTGTGTGCAAAAACGGGTTACAGTCCTATGTCTGATATGCAATCTTTTTGGGCTATATAGGTGTGTACAAAAACGGGTTGCACTCTAAATTTGAATCGATTCAATGTATTTATGTGTGTAAAAACGGGTTACACTCTTACGTAGAGTCTACTTTGGCCATGTAGGTCTGTACAAAAACGGGTTGCACTCTGGAATTGAACCCATTTAACGTATGTGTGTATGTACAAAAACGGGTTGCATTCTTAATAGAATATCTTTGGAGGGGTATATAGGTGTGTGCAAAAACGGGTTACAGTCTTATCTCTTATACATAATCATTGTTTGGCTATATAGGTGGGTACAAGAACGGGTTGCACTCTTAAATTTCATCTATATAAGGTGTCTGTACGTGTGCAAAAACGGGTTGCATTCTTAAAGTGCATATGTCAAGTGAATATAGATGTGTACAAAAACGGGTTACACTGTTAAATTATTTGTTTTTAGAGTATATAGTTGTTTGCAAAAACGGGTAACACTCTTATAAAGAATCTAATCCGGCTATATAGATGCGTACAAAAAAGGGTTGCACTCTTAAAAATGAAGCCATTCAAGGTATATATGTATGTGCAAAAACGGGTTACATTCTTAGATCTTAGATACAGGTGTGTGCAGAAACGGGTTGCACTCTGAAATTGAATCGATTCAATGTATTTATGTGTGCAAAAACGGGTTACACTCTTATGTAGAGTCTACTTTGGTCACATAGGTGTGTACAATAACGAGTTGCACTCTGAAATTGAACCCATTTAACGTATGTGTGTATGTACAAAAACGGGTTGCACTCTTAATAGAATATCTTTGGGGTATATAGGTGTGTGCAAAAACGGGTTACAGTCTTATGTCTTATACATAATCATTTTTTGGCTATAAAGGTGGATACAAGAACGGGTTGCACTCTTAAATTTGATCTATATAAGGTGTCTGTACGTGTGCAAAAACGGGTTGCATTCTTAAAATGCATATGTCAAGTGAAAATAGATGTGTACAAAGACGGGTTACACTGTTAAATTATTTGTTTTTAGAGTATATAGTTGTTTGCAAAAACGGGTAACACTCTTATAAAGAATCTAATCCGGCTATATAGATGCGTACAAAAAAGGGTTGCACTCTTAAAAATGAAGCCAATGAAGGTATATAAAATTATGTATGTGCAAAAACGGGTTACATTCTTAGATCTTAGATACAGGTGTGTACAAAAACGGGTTGCACTCTTAAATTGAATTGATTCAATGTATTTATGTGTGCAAAAACGGGTTACACTCTTACGTAGACCCTTATCTGGCCATGTAGATGTGTACAAAAACGGGTTGCATTCTTAGATCTTAGATATAGGTGTGTACAAAAACAGGTTGCACTCTTAAATTAAATGAATGATAATGAATATGTGCAGTATCCCTCAAGCCCCTTAGCACCGGCAGGAGCGGTATTCAATTCTCAGTACTTAAGAGTCCCCTGAAAACCTGTAAAATATGACAACACTGAAGTGATGTACGGGCAACTGCTGCCACACACCTAACAGTATTTATGCCTATGCAAACAAAAAAAACAGGTTGCCCTTTTATATTGTATTTATCAAGTTAAACAAAACGGGTTACCCCTTTCAACTGGATATAATTATGGTATTTATTAATTGAATGTACACAAATGGGTTGCACTTTTATATAGAATCTTTTTTCGATATATAGGAATGTTCAAAAACGAGTTGAACTCTAAAATGAATCATATATTGCGATATATAATTAAGCTTGTGCAAAAACGGATTTCACTCCTCAATTGTGTACCATATTTGCTATCCAATAAATATCTATATATATATTACCAAATTTAAACATTTTTCTTTCCAAAACAGATGTGAGAAATACATAAATAATGTTTAAAAAAAGAAATAAAATTTAGACGCTTCTAGGTATTGAACTCACACCCCTAAATGTTCAATTTCAGAACTCTTCATAGCGGAGGTAATGAAATAATAGTTTGTCTAAATAGCAAAGAGATTTTGTTTGAAAATAGTTCGCAAATTTATTGTTTTAAACAATACAAAAATGCAAACAAATGTGTGATTGATCCAACTTTTCAAGTATTAGGTTATCTTAACTAACAGGACTAAAGATGTGCTTCAATTTTTTTATACTGTGAGAATATAATTTATTCTATCATTTTCTTCCGCGCTTCATTACCGTTTGGGCGGAGTTTGCAAAAACGCTCTACACTGTAGTGAGCAAAAACGGGTAGCAAAACAGCCGTCTCCATATAAATTGGCTGTGACTAAAAAAAGGATTGGAGCACCACACTAAATACCGTATTCCGGTATATACCGGACAAGGCGCTTGAATGATAAAATGCTAAAATCTTGTCTTTTTAACCCAACGGAATGAACTTTAATAGTCTAATTCATCATTTCACACCGAATCAAGTACGATAACCAAGGAAAAAATGTAAAAATTCGGCGAAAAAAACGATATTTGTCTATTTTTGTGATCATGATTTCTGCAAGCGTCTAGAGGTACTGCTCCAATCCTGTATTGAGCTAAATCCATATAAATTTCACGGAAAAGGCCGAAAAGTTGGCTTTCGGCAACCGGATGTAAACAAAGAAGATGGCGGCTAATCACAAATCCTCAGACTTTGATCAAAATTGTTATACAGCACTTTTAGGGTTAGCGGAGAGTTACAGAACGGTGTCAAATATAAGACATTGTATCCATTGCTTAAAATCTGTTTTTAATCTCAGTCCGCCACCATCTGTTGAAGCGCGGACACATCTTCAACTTGGAAATCTTTTACTGTCTCATACCAAAAATATTGATCTTGCAAGACAACATTTAGAGAAAGCGGTAACTGTTTTCGATACACATTTTTAAGAGAAATAGATTTAAGGAAAAGTTGCAGTCTTTTGGTACAAGTCAACCGATCTCGAGTTAACATTGAGATGTAGGCACTCAAATTAATATGAAAAAGGCAAAGCTTCAAAGCGAGCTGGTTTACTTTTACCGTGAAATAGTATAAAATAATCGTTCATTTTTATTTTACATTTTCTGTTTTAAAATTGTCTTTCGGTATTTCATACACTGCTTCCATTTATTTTGGTTCCCTGTCCAATTATGGTTCCCATAAAAGTGCGCGGGTGACCAGTCTACACATCTGTTTTCAGTCAGAATTCCTCAGTTTTTATCGTTATTTTTAAAATCGAAAAGTTGGGATGTGTCAATTCAGTACTTCGGACGAAAGTTTTCAAAAGCATCACTTAGCAGGTACTCGCGTTACCGTAAAACTCACTGTGCTAGCTCACTAATATGAAATTAGGCAAAGCCTATGAACGGGGAAGTCGTTAAAAAATTCCTTTCATTCTTTCCGTTTTAAAGGTGCACCTCTTCCATTTTCACTAGGAACACTCGACGTTTATTATTCATCCGAAAAGTTGAGATTTGTTCCGTTATCGGAATACCCCGCCTATTATCATTTAGTTACATTGTAAATAGCGGCGCCCAACTAGAACTGACACTGAAAATTTCATTGATAGGTATAAAATTCTATATATTTTTTAATTGTTTTTTATTTGATTTTTCTTTTAAATATACACATGTAGTCTATAGCCGGGCAAGCCAAAGCCCGGACCCGCTTTGCGGGCCCGGTCTTTGACTTTCCCGTATTACTTCTAAAGGCAGTTGTTAGGCCTAGTCCACAGCGGTCCTGTAATAAAAATATCTGTCATATGTGGCCGGTTGGGACCGGAATATCCGTCCCAAGGAAACCCCGCCCATTGGACAGTAACAAGGCTTTTCGCAAATATACGTCAGATATTTTTTCTTGCATATTCTGCCATATTATTTCATATTTAAAATGGTTTACCTCAATATGATATATGTCATTTCATCCATAACTATTTTCTAACAATAGTGTATGAACTTACAACTTTAATAACAACGGCGAAATGACGTCATCCTAAGCACTTATTTCCCTTCTAAAATGATGTCATTTTAACGCAGTTCATTAAAAAAATGCGTTAAAATAATGTTGTATGGCACACAACGCATCTGGTACCCCCCATGCCAAATGAAATTTCCGGCATGGGTGAAACTCACGGAAACTCCAGTCTGCTATGTAAGAAAATAATATAAAAAATAGGCAAAGCCTATGATACAGGAAGTCATTAAAATTTCCTGTCATTTTTCCAATTTAAAGGTGTCTTTTGGTATTTCATGCACCCCTTCCGTTTTCACTTGGAACATGCGGGGTAGGTCCAGGCTTTGATTACTTCACAATCATGTATATTTAAAAGAAAATACTTAGAATTCAATACATATCAATGAAATTTTCAGTGTCAGTTCTAGTCGGGTGCCACCAACTTCCCCGTTCATAGGCTTTGCCAAATTTCATATAGTATATTTGCTGTTGTTTTTAGCTAACCTGACCACGAAGTGGTCAAGGTGAGGTATAGTGATGGGGCTTTGTCCGGCGTCGTCGTCAACGTGTCAACAATGGGTTGTTAACAGTCTAGCCGTCACAGTTTTGATTGGATCATCATCAAACTTTGTCAGAATGTTTGTCGCAATGAAATACAGGTCAAGTTCGAAGATGGGTCATCTCAGGTCAAAAACTAGGTCACAGGAGCTAAAAATAGAAAAAGCTTGTTAACACTCTAGTGGCTGCAGTTTTGATCCAAATATTCTGGAAATTTGTCAGGAAGGTTGTTTTGATGATTTCTAGGTCAAGTTCAAAGATGGGTCATCTCCAGTCAAAAACTAGGTCACAGGAGCTAAAAATAGAAAAAGCTTGTTAACACTCTAGTGGCTGCAGTTTTGATCCAAATATTCTGGAAATTTGTCAGGAAGGTTGTTTTGATAATTTCTAGGTCAAGTTCGAAGATGGGTCATCTCCGGTCAAAAACTAGGTCACAGGAGCTAAAAATAGAAAAAGCTTGTTAACACTCTAGTGGCTGCAGTTTTCATCCAAATATTCTGGAAATTTGTCAGGAAAATTGTTTTGATGATATTTAAATCAAGTTCGAAGATGGGTCATGTCCGGTCAAAATTTAGGTCACAGGAGCTAAAAATAGAAAAATCTTGATAACACTCTAGTGGCTGCAGTTTTCATCCAAATATTCTGGAAATTTGTCAGGAAGGTTGTTTTGATGATTTCTAAGTCAAGTTCGAAGATGGGTCATCTCCGGTCAAAAACTAGGTCACAGGAGCTAAAAATAGAAAAAGCTTGTTAACATTCTTGTGGCTGCAGTTTTGATTCAAATATTCTGGAAATTTGTCAGGAAGGTTGTTTTGATGATTTCAAGGTCAAGTTCAAAGATGGGTCATCTCCGGTCAAAAACTAGGACACAGGAGCTAAAAATAGAAAAAGCTTGTTAACACTCTAGTGGCTGCAGTTTTGATTCAAATATTCTGGAAATTTTGTCAGGAAGGTTGTTTTGATGATTTCTAGGTCAAGTTCGAAGATGGGTCATCTCCGGTCAAAAACTAGGTCACAGGAGCTAAAAATAGAAAAAGCTTGTAAACACTCTAGTGGCTGCAGTTTTGAACCAAATATTCTGGAAATTTGTCAGGAAGGTTGTTTTGATGATTTCTAGGTCAAGTTCGAAGATTGGTCATGTCCGGTCAAAAACTAGGTCACAGGAGCTAAAAATAGAAAAATCTTTTTAACACTCTAGTGGCTGCAGTTTTGATCCAAATTTCCTGGAAATTGGTCAGGAAGGTTATTTTGATGATTTCTAGGTCAAGTTTGAATATGGGTCGTCTTCGGTCAAAAATTAGGTCACATTGCCCAAATATGGAAAAACCTTTTTAACACACTAGAGGTCACATGTTTGACTCAGTTGTCATCAAACTTGGCCAGGATGCTTGTCTAAGACATTGCTTGGATGCGGTTGATGGGTCAGGTGAGCGATGCAGGGCCATCATGGCCCTCTTGTTTAATTATTTGCCTGTATTTTTTCAATAATGTAGAATGTCAAGCTCCTGTGCCTAGTCTCAATATTTCAACTACAAGACTGACTGACTTTACAAACTTTTAAAACATAGACGTCGGCCAATCGTCTATATAAGAAAAAGCCCTAAAGAGTACAATTTGTTGGGCTATTGCTAGCCATACTTGTACTGCTAGCCAAAAGTTCTAGCTGTACTCGAGTCATACGACTAGCTTATTGACCTTTTCCAAAATCTAGTTAAACACAGTTTTCTGGTACGTCACAGATTTAGCTTTGGAAAATTAGACCAAATAATGTTCATAACACTATTACATGATACTTCTATTTTTCTATCATTATTTTGCAGTTTAAGTTGAAAAAACTTGATGTGTTTAAAAATTATCAATGTTCCTTAAATAATATCTATTTCAAATTTGTTTAAAAAAATTTATTTTTTATAATTAATGTAAATCAATAAAATTAAAAATAGTCGTAGTGGCATCTTCATAATAAATACAAGATATTTTCTGCATAAACTTGTGTATTTACTTTATTTTTTTGTATGGAATTATTCATACAATGGTATTTAATTATTTTCCTACAAAGTAATAACTATTTGAATCTATGATACTGACCAACTTGATTTGCATTTATGTCATTGCTACAAATGTTTGTGTTTATGTTTCAGTATCAATATACATGTATTAAATTTAAAATAATAACTTTCTGTTCATTTATAATTTGTAGTTGTGTAAGTGATAAACCATCATTTCAGCTGTTAAATATTGCAGCATTGCCGCTGTCAACAATAACAAACCTTCTACTTTGGACATTCAATCAGGCACACGTATATACATGTACAAATGTAAACATAATGGTGGCAGATCCATGTTACTCAATTTCCGTTTCTCTAAATAGAAATGCCCAGTCCCTTGAAATTGGAGTTACTGAGAGTCAACTGGATTTTGTGTGCAGTCCACAACTTTTTAGCTCACCTGTCACAAAGTGACATGGTGAGCTTTTGTGATCGCTTTTTGTCCGTCGTCCGTCCGTAAACTTTTACTTTAAACGACATCTCCTCATAAACCACTTAGCCAATTTCATCCAAACTTCACAGGAATGTTCCTTTGGTAGTCAACTTTAAAAATTGTTCAAAGAATTTAATTCCAAGCAGAACTCTGGTTGCCATGGCAACCGAAAGAAAAAACTTAAAATATCTTCTTTTAGAAAACCACAAGAGCTAGAGATTAAATATTTGGCATGAAACATCACCTAGTCAGTGTCTACCAAGTTCAAATAAATGCCCTGGGGTCAAAATTGGCCCCGCCTTGGGGGGTCATTGATTTTCCTTATTTGTATACAGTAAAAACTTAAAATATCTTCTTTTAGAAAACCGTAAGAGCTAGAGCTTAAATATTTGACATGAAACATCAACTAGTCAGTGTCTACCAAGTTTGTTCAAATCAATGTCCTGTGGTCAAAATTGGCCCCGCCCCGGGGGTCATTGATTTTCCTTATTTGTATATAGTAAAAACTTAAAATATCTTCTTTTAGAAAACCCAAAATAGCTAGAGCTTAAATATTAAGCATGAAACATCTTCTAGTGGGTGTCTACCAAGTTTGTTCAAATAAATGCCCTGGGGTTAAAATTGGCCCGGCCTCGGGGGTCATTGATTATATAGTAAAACCTTAAAATATTTTCTTTTAGAAAACCGCAAGAGCTAGAGCTTAAATATTTGGCATGAAACATCACCTAGTCAGTGTCTACCAAGTTTGTACAAATCAATGCCCTGTGGGGTCATTGATTTTCCTTTTTTGTATAGAGTAAAAACTTTAAAAATCTTCTTTTAAAAACCAAAAGAGCTAGGGTATCGATACTAAGCATGAAGCCTTGTGGTCAAAATTGGCCCCTCCAGGGGAGGATCATTGTTTTTTCCTATATGTATGTAGTAAAACTTAAAAAATCTTCTTATTAAAACCCCAAAGAGTTAGAGCTTAGATATTTATCATGAAACATCTTCTAATGGCTGTCTACCAAGTTTGTTCAAATAAAAGTCCCTGGTTTAAAATTGGCATTGGCCCAGGGGCCTATATACAGGTGAGCGATTTCAGGGCCATCATGGCCCTCTTGTTTATTGTTCAAGGGATTTTGAAATTACTTGGCACAAATGTTCACAACAATGGGACCATTTGTCATATGCAACAGCCAGACTCATACCTTCAATATCAAGGACACACTTGAGTACCAAAGCTTAACATGGTCTGTTCTTGGGTATAATTTGTGTGCGGAATATAACTTTTTCATCAATCAAGGAATTTTAAAATAGCTTGGCACAAATGTTTACAATAATAAAACGACATGTCATGCGCAACAACAAACCCTGTAACAGACCATATCCTGTATTGATTTTGTATTTATCACATTTTGTGGCTTTGAAATAGTGATAACAAGTATTATATACAAATGTTTTTCTGTTGACACATACACAGGACTTATTTCATTATATTTCTGTAATAAATTTATTGTTAATTGGTCAAAATTTTGTACTGAAAGATGCATTCCTCAATCTTTTGAAATAGCACAATTTTGTGCTTCATGTAAATCTCCCCTTAGACGGGGGACGTTGGCAACTCTGCACTTTCGATAATATTATAAATATATCACAAAGCAAGTTGTATAATGATGTCCGACCAGACTTGATAACACCACCATATTTTCATCTTGATATCCCAAAATTCATTATTGTTAATGCATGGTTATAAAAATTAATGATTTTCTTATTTCATTTTCAGTGGAGTTTATCATCAAGTGTATCCTTTGTGTATGAGTGTTTTAGTATTAGATTATCATCAGAAATTTTACAGACTTTGTAGTAAATTGTTGTCATGTAAACATACAATATCCAGTATTGTAATAAACCCAATTTTGATTTTAATATATAATTTACATTATGCATAAAATCATGTAAAATTATTTAAGAAATGATTTGTAATTTTGCACATGATGGATCTTTTCAGTTTTTAGCTGTGAAAAATTTTGTCACCACAGATATTAATTTTTCTACATGTTCATATAGAATTTCTTATCTACAATTTACTTAATATTTCTTATACAAGACATTTACCATAGGGTGCATTTGACGTATAGTAATTATGAACAATTGTGAAAGGAAGCTTGAGTAAATAGAAGATTTTTTTACAGAGCAGTGATAAATTTATTCTTTAACTAAGATAAGCTTTCACATCATGATGATGTCAAGTTTGAGGCTGCTAGTGTCCTTGCTGCTATGTATGAAAAACAGGTGAGATTGTTTTTAGTGATTACAAATATCTATTCTCTGCCATTGTATATATAAATCTGTCAGATTTTTAATATTAGGGTTCATCCAGTCTTAAACTTTATTTTGCTGAGTATTATAAAAAGGACTTTTATGCTAGGATAACATGAGTGGAGTAATGAAAATAATGTCTACATTGTGTACAGGAGTTTGCTGTTAAAGGGCACCTTCGTTTAATCATACCATATTTAATCATACCATAATAAAAAGGTTTTACTGTTTTAACATGAGCTTATGCATGAATATTTAGCATAAAATTGTGCTACTTTGAAATTCGACCAGTCCATTGATGACATTAACAAACAATGCTTAATTTAAAGTAGTCAACAGTATTAGAGTGTTGCTTAAACTGATAGCATAGTCTTGTCTTTATTGTAGCAAACATTCAAGTAGTTCAAGGTTTAATATACTATGCTAGTTCTTACATATATGTTATTTCTACTGTTGCAGGGACAGGCTGATCTAGGTAAACCTATATTATGTAAGGCCAAGGACATCTCGCAACAGTCCCCATTCTGGCATTGTAGACTGCTGTTTCAACTAGCTGTATGTAATACATTTCTTTTCTGTATTTGATGCTTAATTATATGTGTTAGATAATTAAATGATTTATTGATAGACATTTATAATTATTTATAGATGTTCAGAAATATCATCTAAAGCAGATATATTTGTAAATTATCTTAAGAAATTTGAAATTAAGCTCATTTTGTGCATGCCATCTTTTAAATGATTGCTTAACATGGAATTTAGTAAGATTCTTTATTTTTTTTCTGGTTTTTTTTTCAAGTTTTTTTAATTGTAATGACATATATTGCAAAATTGGAGCCTTAAATTAAAAAAAATCTATATTAATTAGAATTATTTTTAATGCAATGAAATTTCTTGAATATAGATAATCTGACATGCTTTTTAGCTCGACTATTCGAAGAATATGAGAGCTATTGTAGTCGCCCGGCGTCGGCGTCAGCGTCCGCGTTGGTGTCTGCGTTGGTTAAAGTTTTTTGTAAAGTCAAATATCTCAATCATTACTTGAGATATTGAATTGAAACTTACAATACTTATTTATAGTAACAAGGTACATCAGATTGACAAGTTGGATAACTCTGCCTACAATATTGACAGAATTATGCCCCTTTTTAACTTAGAAATTTTGGTTAAAGTTTTTTGTAAAGTCAAATATCTCAATAATTACTTGAGATATTCAATTGAAACTTACAATACTTATTTATAGTAACAAGGTACATCAGATTGACAAGTGAGATAACTCTGCCTACAATATTGACAGAATTATGCCCCTTTGGAACTTAGAAATTTTGGTTAAAGTTTTTTTGTAAAGTCAAATATCTCAATTATTGCTTGAGATATTCAATTGAAATTTAAAAGACTGTTTTATAGTAACAATGTACATCAGTTTGCAAAATTGCATAACTCTGCCTGCAAAATTTGAAGAATTATTTGCCCCTTTGAAACTTAGAAATTTTGGTTAAAGGTTAAAGGTCTTCAAAGATATTTACTTGAAACTTTACACATGCACTTAGGGTCATAATTGGAGGGTCATAATTGTATGTCACTGACCAAGTTCCATAACTCTATCTTGCATTAAGGCTGATTCATATCCCCTTTTCTACTTAGTCTCTTGGTTAATGTTTACATGCAAGTTTTACATATCTCAATAACTATTAAAGATATTTATTTAAAACTTCACATATGCATTTAGGGTCATAATTGTAGGTCACTGACAAAGATCCATAATTCTATCTTGCATTTAGGCTGATTTTTCTCCCCTTTTTCAACTTAGAAATTCATGGTAAAGTTTTGCTTGTAAGCTGTTATCTCAATTACTACTGAAGGGTTTGTGCCCTTTTTGGGGACAATTTTATGCATTCATAATAATAAAGCAGAGATTTACTTGATAAAACATCTTAATTAGAAGCCTTTGTACCTTTTCTGTCAAATTTATGTATTCATAGGTAATTGCATGTAGTATTATTATACTCAATAAAACAACCTTGTGACATTACCTTCCGAATAGTCAAGCCAATACTGTATAATTAGACTCTCTCTAAGGCCTATAACATGAATTTATTAAAAAAAAATTAGACCTTTTGTGATCTTAAAAAATTTAACATTATCAAGGCTCTTTTACTATCAAGCACTTAGAATAGTCGAGCGTGCTGTCCTACCGACAGCTCTTGTTATGTTACACTGTACATACATGTACCTGACCCATCTAGGCAACAATATTTTTTTGTGAATTCCCATGTTAATAATAAAAAATTCAAATGAGAAGGTGCGACATTGCAGAAAAATCAGTAAAAATACTTAAAATCACTTAAAAGCATGAAATAAAAAAGCTTGAAATAAAAAGAAAATTTATTTGTTTTACATATAAGATTGAAAAATATTTCATTTGTATACACCAACTATTCCATTTTCACTTGTGGCTATGCCACTTATGAAAATATTGCATCTGGTGTTCACTCAGTGAAATATAGTTCAATCTTTTACGCAAAACAAATATCCTTTATGTAATGCTTAAATTTTATAGAATGGTGTTTTTGTTAATTTTATTTCAAAGTTTTTTTTGTGATGCTATTAAAATTGATGTGATGGATAGACAAAAAATGCCAAAGCTTGATTTAATTATTATAAAAAATGTTGAAAATGTTTTCTTACAAAAGTATGTTTTGCATTGATATTTTGTTGTTTCAGCAAATGCATGCATCAAAGAGAGAGTTTAATGAAGCCTGTGTGTTGCTGGGTTCCGGGGCAGAATATGCTTCATCAGCTAACTCTCAATATACAACACTCTTGTTTCTTCTTAGTAAAGGAATGGTATGTATCAGTTTACTTAAAGATATACTTTGCTCAAATTGGATATTTGAAAATATTGATAATTGCTATAATGCTACATCATCTTTTTGTAAATATGAAATACTTCACACAAACTGAAAGTAGATAATTATGTCATGTTTTAAACTCTACACACTACAAGTGGACACACTATGAATATATAGTGTCATTAAAAAAGCTGACTGTTAAAATGAAAGAAATGGCTTTATTTGACCTGTGTTAAGGAACACAGATTCCCATACATACAGTAGTTTGTACGTTCTTTTATATAGATAAGACATATTCAGTAAGAATTTTACAGATTTCAATAAATTTCTGCAATAAAAATATTTTACTCTGAAGATGAGCATAGTATATCTTTAATATAATTATGTGGTCTATTGTCGACATGTATGTATAAAAATATTTGTTGATATTTGTATTCTCCCAGGAATAACTTTGTCAAAAATCCATTGTTATCAACACCTTACACTTTATATAATTATGCTTTATACTATTATAGTTACTTTATTATATGAAGTCTACAAAAGTATACTTTGAAACATATTAAAAACAATGATTGATAGTTTTTTAAACTGAAAAAAAAAAACATCTAGAAGTTTTATATGAAATATTTGTAAATATTATTCATGTCAGGTTGCAGTGAAGTTTCAAGCATATAATTTTTAATGCAAATTTGCTATAATGATGCAAAGATGATTTATAAACAATTTTTATTTTGTCTTTTACATTACTTGTGTCTACTCAAAGTCTTATTACATAAATTCTGAGAGGTATAACTTTATTCTTTTGTTAACATTTTGAATTTATGTATTTTTTTCCTTTCTGTAGTTATTGCTGATTAACAGAGATGCGCTACAGGTGAATGAAACTCTATCACGGGCTGGGTCTATGATAGAACAATGGACTGGTCCCTCCGTACAAAAAGAATCTCTTAAAGTTTTCTTTCTTGTCCTTCAAGTATGCCATTATCTTACAGCAGGACAGGTCAGTATAGTTATATTTCACAGTTATCGTTTTACAACTATTTAATGGGTTTATAGAGAGTATGAAATGGTGGTATGTATTTAAAGTGGAGAGGTCTGAGATGGACACATTTTCCATAAATATTTCAAATATTGATAAAAACAGTAGAAATGAATAATTCGGATATTCTTATAAAAAGTTATTTAAAAAATCATTGATAAAGTTCTTATAAGTGACTTAAAATGAGCATTCATATGATAAAGAATAATATTTTATTCTAGCATAAACAGAATAAAACATTCCAAATAAAATAATATGCGGCCTTTTTAAGTAGGTTTTTAACCATTTAGCAATGCTTTTGTGCATGCATCATTTTCTCAAAAAGGAAATATATTATAAATTATTTTTCCCTTAAAATAATTTCCTTTATTTTTTCAAGAAATTATTTCAATCTCGTTCGAACGAGATTTTTGTTTACAAATCACTGGTTCCATTTCGGTGTATATATTAGTTAGGTAGTAAACGGAACCAATATCACTCTCAACAACTATATAAGCACGTGAAACTCGTGCATCGGTCTCTCAGTTTACAACTCGCTGTCCGAGTACACTTCAAATTAACTCTTCGGATTTTACATCGGAAATCTCGTTGTTTGGAATGCCACGTGGTAGAGGAAGACCAGTTAGGGCTTCAAGGCCAGTAAATACTGCAAACCAGCCTAATAATGTACAGACCAGGGGTCGGAAAAGGCAGGCAGAGGAGGACGGTGACTCCCTAGCAGAAGACACGTCTTTACAGTCCAACGCAGGTTCGTCCAATTTCATAGACTTTGAACAAATTATGAGAGCTAGTCAATTGTTACCGAATAGTAACGTTAGTATTAATAATAATTCAGGTTCAAATGATTTAAGTATGGGGTGTGGCAGTGGTTCAGTCAATAATAATAGTTCTCCTTTAGTTACACGTGGCAACCCTCCACAACGTGATTTCTTTCAAAGTAATGCCATGCGCGATAACTCTGCATGCGTCCCAATGCCCGTTACTCGTTTAGCAGACGACGATATTGCGGCGCACTTACCATCTTCTATCAAACAACAAATTTGTAGGGGAGAATATGTTAATTTAGCATTGATGTTAAAAGGAACTGTGGAACTCTCCCAATATTGTGATGGTTCAATTTTTAAATTAAGTTTAAATGGGGAAATTGAAGCATGTCGAAGAGATTGCAAAGAAAAGATTTTCGACATTGAAAAATGGACTAATGCATTTTTGATATATGCGTCTGTGTATTTGTCAAATCACGCTGACAAAAGCTATGAGCTAATACACTATATGTATAACATTAGAGAGGCCGCTGCAAGACAAGGGTCGTATTGCTGGCGAGAATACGACGAGCAATTTCGTCTCCGGCAAGCTATAACACCAGCCCCCTGGTCAAAGATAAATAACGATCTGTGGTGGCGCTGTATGCAATTGAAGCCTGTTAACAAAAACCCCTCGAACGTGAGGAGATATACATGTAACCCTTTCAATTCAGGTTCATGCACGTGGCCGGATTGTAAGTTCTCACACACGTGCTCAAAATGTCACGGTCCTCATCCGGAAATCAAATGCACGTGGTCCGGTCCACAGTCGAATACACAGTCTTCGAATACACAGTCTAACTTTAATAATAAATCCTTTCGTAGACCTAAAGGATCATTCAATCAGCAAAGAAAAAATTAATGTGTCAAACATTCGTGGAAATACAATATCTCATAATCAGGATATTTATAGATTAGCTCCATCACCAATTAATGTTAGGGTTTTAAGACGATATTTAAGATATTATGACAAAACCGAAGGTGTATTTTTATTACAAGGATTTTTGCACGGTTTTCCCATTCAATATAACGGTCCACGTGCACCACGAAATGCCAAAAATTTGCGCTCGACAGATTTAAACCCCGAACTTATACAATCAAAAATTAATAAAGAAATTGAATTGGGTAGGGTAGCTGGTCCGTTTGTACATCGGCCATTGCCAAAACTAATCGTCTCCCCTATTGGGCTTGTCCCAAAAAAGACACCGGGTGAATATAGGCTCATTCACCATTTATCATATCCCCCTGGTGAATCAATAAATGATTACATTGATCCTAACCTATGCACGGTACAGTACACTAGTTTTGATGAAGCGGTTAAACTTATCCAGAATTTGGGTCAGAATTGTAAACTATTTAAAGCGGATATTCGTAGTGCTTACAGATTGATCCCTATTAAACCGTCCGACTTTGAATTACTTGGTTTCTGCTTTAATAATAACTTTTATTTTGATAAAGCTTTGCCTTTCGGCGCATCAATAAGCTGCATAACTTTTGAAAGATTTTCGCGTTTCCTTGAGTTTAGTGCTCTCCGTAAATTTAAAACAGGAGGATTAATACATTATTTAGATGATTTTCTGGGCGCCGATATTACTTTTGAATCTTGTTCAGAAGCATTTCAAATTTTTAAAACTACTATGTCCGAGTTGGGTGTTCCACTTGCGGAAGAGAAAACAGAGGGACCGACAGAAGTATTAACGTTTTTAGGCCTCGAACTCGATTCAAATAATATGACGGTTAAGGTTCCGGGAGTAAAAATCCAGGAAGTTGTCTTAAAAATTGAAGAGATATTATCTCATAAAAAAACAACGTTGAAAAAAATGCAGTCATTAATTGGTGTACTTAATTTTTGTTGTCGGGCTATACCAATGGGCAGACCTTTTTCACGTAGATTAATTGATTCTATATGCGGGCTTACTAAACCATTTCACCGCATAAGGCTTAAAAAAGAGATAAGATTGGATTTAAATATGTGGTTATCGTTTCTTCAAGATTTTAATGGTTTATCCTTATTTCATGACAAGTACTGGGTATCGAATGTTGATGTTCAACTTTTCACAGATAGCGCAGGGGGACCAAATTTAGGATTTGGTGTATATTTTTGCGGTCACTGGTGTTATGCGAAATGGCCCCTTGAATGGCACGAATCCGGCATTACTTCAGATATTACTGTTCTTGAATTATTTCCGATTTTGGTAGCATTATATATTTGGGGAGATCAGCTGTTGAATAAGAAGATTCAATTTCACTGTGATAATATAGCAGTTGTTCATATATTAAATAAATTGTCTTCAAAGTCTTGTAGAGTAATGAGACTGGTACGTTTAATAACACTACGTTGCCTTAAACTAAATATCTGGATAAGGTCAATTCACGTGCCTGGTCATCAAAACGCTATTTGTGACTCTTTGTCTCGTTTACAGCTATCCCGATTCCGATCACTCGCCCCGGAAGCAGACCCCGAGCCCAGTCTAGTACCACATTTTCTATGGAGCGTCTTCAGGGAAGAGCTAGACAGTTGCTTAGTTCAGCAGTAGCTCCAAATTCGATGATCGTATATAATAATGCCATAAGGTCATTCGAAAAATTTAGGCACGAATATAATTTAACTTCTGATTGGCCAATTCCGGTCGATCATATGATTTTATATTTATCATTTTGCTTTGAGAAGGGGTTATCCCCTAAATCAATCACTACATATTTGGCAGGAATTAACTACGTTCATAAAATCCTCGGTTTTAAGAGTTTTAATCAAGTCTTTATGGTTAACAAATTATTAGAGGGCTGTCGCAGAAGTAGACCTACGCAAGATTTACGGGCACCTCTTACAATACATGTATTAGAGGAAATATGCCTTAATTTACACTCCGTTTGTTATGATAATTATGAAACCACATTATTTCGAGCACTGTTCACGCTTGCTTATTTTGGCCTTTTTCGTGTCAGTGAACTTACAGCTTCAAGTATTTGTCATCTTGGCCATGCAATTTTGCTTAACGATGTACACTTTGAAGAGAATGAACAGTATGTCGTTATCTGTCTTCGCCATTATAAAACAAGCCAATATGGTAATCCAGCTATCATCAAGCTGCCTAGGAATATGAATGGATTATGTCCTGTCTCAGAGATACTAGAATATTTAAAGATCCGATCAAAAGGTTTTTCAATTCTGTTTTGTCATAAAAACGGAGCACCAATTTTGAGGTCACAATTTTCTCGTGTCCTATCGCTAGCTATTGATAATACCCGTTATCGAGCCGGCCATTTCCGGACACACAGTTTTAGGATTGGTCGGGCGACTGATCTGGCTATCGCTGGTTATCCATCAGATGCCATTATGAAATTAGGTCGATGGTCCTCTAACTCTTTTAAGCTGTATGTACGTTAAGTTTCAACCTGATTTTATTTTATTCAGATGTCTGGGTGTTAGGCGATTCGTTGCCGTATTGGGCCGGGGTTCACGCATCTGACACTTTCAAGAGCAATTTAAAGATCGACGGTGTGTCCATTGCATGGTGGGGAAAAAGAGGCCTTGGTTGGTCGGGATTGAGGCGTCACATTGAATTGCAGGTTCTATTTTCTCAGCCACCTAAAATGGTAATTATTAACTTGGGGGGAAACGACTTGCAATCGTTTAAAACACCCGACATAAGAAATCTCATAAAACAGGAAATCGACTATTTACGTGATGCCTTTCCTGACACCCTTCTTGTGTGGATGGATATCCTCCCACGAACTTGGCCGGAAAATGAAAACAAGCCCTTAAACTTAAAGAGAAAGCGTTTAAATAGATTAGGTCGAAGAATTGTCATGGAGTCTGGGAAGGGGGCGATTATTACCACTGAAATTAATGACGCCTGTTTCTTCCGCCCTGATGGTATCCATTTAAACATTGTAGGCTTGGAGTTTTATTTAGACTATTTGAAAGATGCAATTGTGGAAAATTTATTAAATTAAGTGTTCATCGCTATTTTTTTGGAGGATAAATTTTTTTTTTTTTTTTGTCAAAATTTACTGTGGCGGGAAAAAAATTATGTCGATCGGGAGGCGGCCGTCTGGTTAACAATCTTGTCTACGGTCTTAACTATTACCGTGTATTTAATCAGCGTTAATATTATAAATTTATATCTTTGGCGTTTAAACTTCTAAATTGTTTTTGTCGGGTAAAGTAGGTCAGTGTATGTGTCGGTATTAAGTGTGACACAGTGTATGTGTCGGATAAAGTATGACACAGTGTATGTGTCGGTATAAAGTGTGACACAGTGTATGTGTCGGTATAATATGTGACACAAGTGTTTTGTGTCAGGTAACCAGATATTGCTCTAGTGCTTTGGTAATATCTGTGTGTTTGTAATCGGTATTCGTACTTCAGGCTCCGTGATGCTTCTGGTAGTTTTCATTATTTTACGGTTATCGGTAGGATAATGGAAGGTATCAGTGGTTGTCAGCTGGTCCGTGTTGATGTACTATTATTTTGGCTCCGTGGCTTTGCCGGTACCCGATATTATTATATGGTTATCCGTACGATAATGGAAGGTGTCGGTCTTTGTCAATTAGTTCGTATTGGTATATCAATAAGACACTGGTAAACATAAGTGACTAGTATTCTGTTAATGTTTGGCAATCTGTTGGTCAATTAATATGACTAACATTTTCGTTCTGGCCTCCTTCCGGTCGGCATACGTTTTTTCCCAAACTAAAACCACGTTGGTTATCCACGTTGTTTTTCTCGAGTGGCCATAATTTCCCAAAACATAAATACAAACTTGAATTTATTTTCTAAATAGTAAACATTTTATAAATGTACCATGTTGTTGTTTTCTCTTTTTCTGGTAACAAAATAATATAAATTATTTTTCCCTTAAAATAATTTCCTTTATTTTTTCAAGAAATTATTTCAATCTCGTTCGAACGAGATTTTTGTTTACAAATCACTGGTTCCATTTCGGTGTATATATTAGTTAGGTAGTAAACGGAACCAATATCACTCTCAACAACTATATAAGCACGTGAAACTCGTGCATCGGTCTCTCAGTTTACAACTCGCTGTCCGAGTACACTTCAAATTAACTCTTCCCACCCGCCACACCCCAATGTTATTATGATTTATAAATATGTTGTGATTTATAAATTTGTTGTACTTTTTGTATTGTCAGTATAAATAATGAAATTGGTTTATTTTATAAGTTCGTGCTAAAAGGTTTTTTACGCATTAGTACATATGATTTTTCAAAGTTTGAATTACTGATAAATAGTCAAATTATCTTTCCAAGATAAAATCATTTGTAAGAATGGTTGGTGAACAATTTAACTGTTTTCTGGTAGTTCTTATATTACAGATACTTCCATGGCACTGACACTTTGACAAGGCGATCCTTCTGCACGATCAGTCAATGTAAAGCAATCTACACAATGTACCTCTCGACGGAAAAACCATACTTTGCAATAAGGGAGAAGACCAAACTTCAGGGATCGTCAATGTTTAGACTGTAACTGTATCTGTGTATTGTTTTCTCCTAATATGTTTCATTTAATCGCGGGTTACATGTGTTTTTGTGTAGAGCTGAGAGACTCTAATAGTGACATGGAAGTTGTTTAGTGCCGGAAGTATAGTGAACATTTTACATTAATTTTAAATCGTGAAGATGTTATGAAGTTGCTTTGATTCTATACATGTGTTATTTGTTTGTACTCCTTAGAATCAAGTATACAATGTCACTCATATTATGCCTGGGAAAAAAATATGTCGATCGGGAGGCGGCCGTCTGGTTAACAATCTTGTCTACGGTCTTAACTATTACCGTGTATTTAATCAGCGTTAATATTATAAATTTATATCTTTGGCGTTTAAACTTCTAAATTGTTTTTGTCGGGTAAAGTACGTCAGTGTATGTGTCGGTATTAAGTGTGACACAGTGTATGTGTCAGATAAAGTATGACACAGTGTATGTGTCGGTATAAAGTGTGACACAGTGTATGTGTCGGTATAATATGTGACACAAGTGTTTTGTGTCAGGTAACCAGATATTGCTCTAGTGCTTTGGTAATATCTGTGTGTTTGTAATCGGTATTCGTACCTCAGGCTCCGTGATGCTTCTGGTAGTTTTCATTATTTTACGGTTATCGGTAGGATAATGGAAGGTATCAGTGGTTGTCAGCTGGTCCGTGTTGATGTACTATTATTTTGGCTCCGTGGCTTTGCCGGTACCCGATATTATTATATGGTTATCCGTACGATAATGGAAGGTGTCGGTCTTTGTCAATTAGTTCGTATTGGTATATCAATAAGACACTGGTAAACATAAGTGACTAGTATTCTGTTAATGTTTGGCAATCTGTTGGTCAATTAATATGTCTAACATTTTCGTTCTGGCCTCCTTCCGTTCGGCATACGTTTTTTCCCAAACTAAAACCACGTTGGTTATCCACGTTGTTTTTCTTGAGTGGCCATAATTTCCCAAAACATAAATACAAACTTGAATTTATTTTCTAAATAGTAAACATTTTATAAATGTACCATGTTGTTGTTTTCTCTTTTTCTGGTAACAAAATAAAATAAAATATATGCACGGCCGTGCCATACCATATTTACGGAGTCGCAAATCGGCACGGGTGTGTGATAAACCAACATATTTCATTGTTACAGGCATTTTAAAATCATTATTTTTCAATATCTCCCCAAAACAGATTTTAAACTGCAGGCAGCAGAGATATAGCTTTATATACTTTAAACTAATCTATATAACATTGTATAAAATAACTAGGTGAAGAGTGTGAAGCCAGCATTAAAACAACTTCAGCAGAGTATACAGACTATCACACAGTTACATACTGATGAAGGTATGTTTAATAATTGAGAGCTAAAGTACAAGTATACAACCATTCCAGCCTACATGAACAAGCTCTATAGGGCGGACTACTCAATTTTATGTATTTTTTATTGAAATCCCTGAAACATAGAAGGTATAGTCAAACTAGGGCGAGTTGAGTGGGGTAAAGGTTAATATATCAGTTGTACCAGAATTATAAAGTAGTTACTCAGTGTACATTATGACAATGTAGCACAAAATGCTGTAACAATATTATTATCATTGTCCTAGCTCAGTTTGTGTAATGGGTGTGTTCTCCAGGGAATTTGTGACTGTCAGTTGTTATATACAGGATGATTTTGCTAGAATTAAGCACCAGAAATACTAAATCTTGACAAACTTTAAAAAGTATTCAGATGTATTTGCAGTGTTTCATGTTGAAAATTTTGAACAAAGTTCCAAGCACATTGCAGTTATTTAAAACAAGAAATATTTTAGGAGAATTACCATCTGTCTACCCCAAGCTACACATGTATAAGCAGTAATTTTTTGAACATGTTTGTATGTTTACAGATCCAGTAGGTAGCAACCAAATTGATATGTTTCAGTGGTTGCCAAAGGAGCACATGTGTGTGTTAGTATATTTGGTAAGTCATACTGCATCCACTAAACTGTACCCATGTAAAACTATCTGAAATATGAATAGGGGAGGGGGTTGGGGTAGGAAGACAACAATTTACCCATTGTGCACAAAATTTAGGAATATGTTGACATTTTAGTAGAGCTTATAATCTTAATACGTACTGAACAGCTTCTTCACTTGAAAGTAAGGTTCATGTCCAGAGATTTGAAAAGCCAAATGTTGAAATTGGAAAATTTGTCTAAAGGGTTATATTACAAAATATTCCTTTATCTCTGAATATAAGATCGTATTTGATAGTCTGTTAAAACAAATGACTTTTTAGCTCACCTGTCACAAAGTGACAGGGTGAGCTTTTGTGATCGCTTTTCGTCCGGCGTCCGTCCGTCGTCCGTCCGTAAACTTTTGCTTTAAATGACATCTCCTCATAAACCACTGAGCCAATTTCATCCAAACTTCACAGGAATGTTCCTTTGGTGGTCACCTTTAAAAATTGTTCAAAGAATTTAATTCCATGCAGAACTCTGGTTGCCATGGCAACCGAAAGAAAAATCTTTAAATATCTTCTTTAAAACAACCCTAAGAGCTAGATCTTAGATATTTGGCATGAAACATCTTCTAGTGAGTGTCTACCAAGGTTGTTCAAATAAAAGCCCTGGGGTCAAAATTGGCCCCGCCCCAGGGGGTCATTGATTTTCCCTATATGCATATAGTAAAAACTTAAAAAATCTTCTTTTAAAGAACCCAAAGAGCTAGAGCTTAGATATTTGGCATGAAACATCTTCTAGTGAGTGTCTACCAAGTTTGTTCAAATAAAAGCCCTGGGGTCAAAATTGGCCCCGCCCCTGGGGGTCATTGATTTTCCCTATATGCATATAGTAAAAACTTAAAAAATCTTCTTTTAAAGAACCGTAAGAGCTAGAGCTTAGATATTTGGCATGAAACATCTTCTAGTGAATGTCTACCAAGTTTGTTCAAATAAAAGCCCTGGGGTCAAAATTGACCCCGCCCCAGGGGGTCATTGGTTTTCCCTATATGCATATAGTAAAAACTTAAAAAATCTTCTTTTAAAGAACCCAAAGAGCTAGAGCTAAGATATTAAGCATGAAACATCTTCTAGTGAGTGTCTACCAAGTTTGTTCAAATAAAAGCCCTGGGGTCAAAATTGGCCCCGCCCCTGGGGGTCATTGATTTTCCCTATATGCATATAGTAATTAAAAACTTAAAAAATCTTCTTTTAAAAGAACCATAAGAGCTAGAGCTTAGATATTTGGCATGAAAACGTCTTCTAGTGAATGTCTACCAAGTTTGTTCAAATAAAAGCCCTGGGGTCAAAATTGACCCCGCCCCAGGGGGTCATTGATTTTCCCTATATGCATATAGTAAAAACTTAAAAAATCTTCTTTTAAAGAACCCAAAGAGCTAGAGCTAAGATATTAAGCATGAAACATCTTCTAGTGAGTGTCTACCAAGTTTGTTCAAATTAAAGCCCTGGGGTCAAAATTGGCCCCGCCCCTGGGGGTCATTGATTTTCCCTATATGCATATAGTAATTAAAAACTTAAAAAATCTTCTTTTAAAGAACCATAAGAGCTAGAGCTTAGATATTTGGCATGAAACGTCTTCTAGTGAATGTCTACCAAGTTTGTTCAAATAAAAGCCCTGGGGTCAAAATTGACCCCGCCCCAGGGGGTCATAGATTTTCCCTATATGCATATAGTAAAAACTTAAAAAATCTTCTTTTAAAGAACCCAAAGAGCTAGAGCTGAGATATTAAGCATGAAACATCTTCTAGTGAGTGTCTACCAAGTTTGTTCAAATTAAAGCCCTGGGGTCAAAATTGGCCCCGCCCCTGGGGGTCATTGATTTTCCCTATATGCATATAGTAATTAAAAACTTAAAAAATCTTCTTTTAAAGAACCATAAGAGCTAGAGCTTAGATATTTGGCATGAAACGTCTTCTAGTGAATGTCTACCAAGTTTGTTCAAATAAAAGCCCTGGGGTCAAAATTGACCCCGCCCCAGGGGGTCATAGATTTTCCCTATATGCATATAGTAAAAACTTAAAAAATCTTCTTTTAAAGAACCCAAAGAGCTACAGCTAAGATATTTAGCATGAAACATCTTCTAATGAGTGTCTACCAAGTCTGTTAAAATAAAAGCCCTGGGGTCAAAATTGGCCCCGCCCCAAAAACTTAAAAAAATCTTCTTTTAAAGAACTCAAAGAGCTAGAGCTAAGATATTTAGCATGAAACAAGTATGTTCAAATAAAAGCCCTGGGTTCAAAATTGACCCCGCCCCAGGGGGTCATTGGTTTTCCCTATATGCATATAGTAAAAACTTAAAAAATCTTCTTTTAAAGAACCCAAAGAGCTAGAGCTAAGATATTAAGCATGAAACATCTTCTAGTGAGTGTCTACCAAGTTTGTTCAAATTAAAGCCCTGGGGTCAAAATTGGCCCCGCCCCTGGGGGTCATTGATTTTCCCTATATGCATATAGTAATTAAAAACTTAAAAAATCTTCTTTTAAAGAACCATAAGAGCTAGAGCTTAGATATTTGGCATGAAACGTCTTCTAGTGAATGTCTACCAAGTTTGTTCAAATAAAAGCCCTGGGGTCAAAATTGACCCCGCCCCAGGGGGTCATAGATTTTCCCTATATGCATATAGTAAAAACTTAAAAAATCTTCTTTTAAAGAACCCAAAGAGCTAGAGCTAAGATATTAAGCATGAAACATCTTCTAGTGAGTGTCTACCAAGTTTGTTCAAATTAAAGCCCTGGGTCAAAATTGGCCCCGCCCCTGGGGGTCATTGATTTTCCCTATATGCATATAGTAATTAAAAACTTAAAAAATCTTCTTTTTAAAGAACCATAAGAGCTAGAGCTTAGATATTTGGCATGAAACGTCTTCTAGTGAATGTCTACCAAGTTTGTTCAAATAAAAGCCCTGGGGTCAAAATTGACCCCGCCCCAGGGGGTCATAGATTTTCCCTATATGCATATAGTAAAAACTTAAAAAATCTTCTTTTAAAGAACCTTAAGAGCTAGAGCTTAGATATTAAGCATGAAACATATTCTAGTGAGTGTCTACCAAGTTTGTTCAAATTAAAGCCCTGGGGTCAAAATTGGCCCCGCCCCTGGGGGTCATTGATTTTCCCTATATGCATATAGTAATTAAAAAACTTAAAAAATCTTCTTTTAAAGAACCATAAGAGCTAGAGCTTAGATATTTGGCATGAAACGTCTTCTAGTGAATGTCTACCAAGTTTGTTCAAATAAAAGCCCTGGGGTCAAAATTGACCCCGCCCCAGGGGGTCATAGATTTTCCCTATATGCATATAGTAAAAACTTAAAAAATCTTCTTTTAAAGAACCCAAAGAGCTAGAGCTAAGATATTTAGCATGAAACATCTTCTAATGAGTGTCTACCAAGTCTGTTCAAATAAAAGCCCTGGGGTCAAAATTGGCCCCGCCCCAAAAACTTAAAAAAATCTTCTTTTAAAGAACTCAAAGAGCTAGAGCTAAGATATTTAGCATGAAACAAGTATGTTCAAATAAAAGCCCTGGGTTCAAAACTGGCCCCGGGGGGGGGGGGGGGTCATTGATTTTCCTTATATGTGTATAGCAAAAACTTAAAAATCTTCTTTGAAAAAACCCAAATAGCTAGAGTTTAGATATTAAGCATGAAACATCTTTAAGTAAATATCTACAAAGTTTGTTCAAATAAAAGCCCTGGGGTCAAAACTGGCCCTGCCCCAGGGGTGTCATTGTTTTTAACTATATGTGTATAGTAAAAACTTTAAAAATCTTCTTATAAAAAACCCAATGAGCTAGAACTTAGATGTTTAACATGAAACATCTTCTTATGGGTGTCTACCAAGTCTGTTCAAATAAACAAATAAAAGCCCTTGGGTAAAAATTGGCCACGGGGGGGGGGGGGGGGGGGGCTATATACAGGTGAGCGACCTCAGGGCCATCATGGCCCTCTTGTTTATCATCAAACTAGTATTATAAATCTGTATTAAATAGCTAGCTCATATTTTGCTAAGTTTGTTATATTGAAACAATTGCAAAAAATATTATGAACCAAATGTTTTATGTAGAAATCTACATTAATTATCCCTATTAATTGTCCCTGACTTAACTTAATATCTTTATTAATTTAATGATTTGATTTGATTAGTTGTGGTGAAACTATGGCCATCTAATGTAAAAGTATAAAAAGACATGGAATGTTAGTAAAGGTTTAAGTATTACAATATGATGTTCACTGTTTCAGGTGACAGTAATGCATTCTATGCAAGCAGGTTATATGGACAAGGCACAGAAATATACAGATAAAGCTCTTATGCAGATAGAAAAACTCAAAAGTATGTTTATAGTGTTTTTTTTTTGGGGGGGGGGGGGTTTCTCTCTTCACATTGTAAACAGAAATGTATGCATCTAATACATAATAATGCCCCCCTTCGAAGAAGAGGGGGTATATTGTTTTGCTAATGTCGGTCGGTCGGTCAGTCTGTCCGTCGATAGACCACAAGGTTTCCGCTAATTATCTTAATAACTATTTATTCCAAAGTCTTCATATTTCATATAGTAATTGGTCATAACTAGTAGACGACCCATAATGATTTTGGGGTCACTAAGTCAAAGGTCAAGGTCACAGGGACATTAAAATCTTGAAAAGTATGCATCGAAAAGTCTTCATATTTCACATTGTGAATGGTTATAATTAGTAGATGACCCCATATTGATTTTTGGGTCACTAGGTCAAAGGTCAAGGTCAAGGGCTTTAAATGTCAGAATGGTTTCCGCTGATTATCTTGAAAAGTATTGATTACAAAGTAATATATTTCACTTAGTGATTGGTCATAACTAGTAAACCCCTAGTTTGATTTTGGGGTCACTAGGTCAAAGGTCAAGGTCACAGGGACCTTAAATGTCAAAAGGGTTTCCGCTGATTATCTAGAAAAGTATGTATCACAAAGTCTTCATATTTCACATAGTGATTGGTCATAACTAGTAGATGACACCTATTTATTTTGGGGTCACTAGGTCAAGGTCACAGGGGCCTTAAATGTCAAAAGGGTTTCCGCTGATTATCTTGAAAAGTATTCATCACAAAGTCTTCATATTTCACCTAGTTATTGGTCATAAGTAGTAGATGACCTCTAACGATTTAGGGGTCATTAGGTCAAAGGTCAATGTCACATGGACCTTAAATGTCAAAATGGTTTCTGTTGATTTTTCCATAATTGAACACTTCCATGTACCCATTTTTGGCAAGTTTCTGTAATAGAATTACCAATTATGTGAGTCAATTGCTAGAAAGGGGGGTATATGTGTCGTTCGACATTCTTGTTTTATTATATACCTAGAAATTTTATCTCTAAAATAGCTCAAATCATGAAGCGCAAGTACAGTTCTATGGATAGAAAGACATATATTACATAAGTGACAAATACGGTACCATATATGGAAGAACCAGACTATTTTTCTTATTGGTTACCATCTTAGCAGTGCAATAGGAAACGCGAACTGCTACTTCTAAGGACATGGTCTCTTTTGCAAAAATTGCTTATTCATCTGTCATTCATAAATTATATATCTGTTTTTGTCCTAAATTGTTAAGGTATATGATAAAAGGATAATTATTTTGTAGTAGCTTTCTGAGATCATGTATTTTGCTACTTGTTGTGTGGGAAAATTGATATCCCACTTGACCTTTGGTCATGTAAAATATGAATATTCTGCTTGTAACAAAATACAAAACCTCAGAAAGCTACTACAACATATTCCAGATGCAAATGTATATATTAAATGACTTGTATAAATGATATATAACTGATTTATTCCTGTTACAGGTAGTGTTTTTATGTATTTTAACTTTCATTTCGTGATTTATACTCACCTGATAGTACATTACATTAGGATTTATCTCCGCATATTACGTTCAATCCGCCTAATAAAAACCAAGCGTCTAACTACACTGATCATCACATGATCATTAGACGCTCTGTAGAAGAACTACAGAACCCCAGTTTATTCTCGGCGTTCAAAACGTTCACATCGTGTTATGAAACTATTTTCTTGTGTGATTATAGGACTTTTATTTTGGACTTTTATTGTAAGTTTGTTTTTTGTTAATTCTATCATGAATAGTGAAGCTATTTCTTCTGATTTGGTGGAAGAAAATTTATCGGAAAGTTCAGTTTCTAGAACTTCCGGTTTGTCATCTTCGGCAAAGAAACGCACTCCACGTGCGAGTAAGAAAGATTTAGATTCTTTACGTAAAGATGTTACCGATTTTAAAGGTGAAGTTTCTTCTTTACATGCTAAATTTGATCAGCTCATGGGTTTTATGACCAAGAATAATTCGGAAACTGTCTTGCAGAGACCGAGTACTTCTGACACTCAGGAAAACTTCACTTCTGGTGAGAGTAGACCTGTGCCATTGAGGGATAACACCGCTCCAGGTGGTAGTAGACCCTTGTTACCTCTTACTAATTCATTGAACAGGGATTACAATATTCCTGAGGATGATGTTCTCTCTTTGCAACCAGGACAAAGGGAGCGTTCTGAATTAGGCATTGACTCAGACGAGGACGCCCGGTCTCGTGCTAGTGTTGAAATTGTTGACGCTGATGGCATTCCACAGCCAGATAGGTTTACTAAATACAGTTCTAAGACTGAGAAACTGTTAGCACAAATGTTTGGTGAAGATGCACTTACTAAACCAGACAAAGATACTTCAGGGTTGCTTATTGATGACAGTCAAGTTACAGTACTTAAGGAGTCATGGCGCAGCTCAGACCCTTCTAGAATTTCAGCCTATAAAGACATTTATAAGTCAACATTTCCTGTAAGTGACTCTGCAGAAGATTTGTTGCAAGTTCCAAGTCTTGATACCATAGTAGAATCACTGTTGATGAAGAAATATGGTAGTAAAGCAGCTTCGAAGTCTCAATCTCTGTATTCACAACCTCTCAAAGCTCTTGAGAAGATAGCATTTCAAGGTCAATGTGCAGCACGTATGGGCATTATTATTAATTTATACATACAACAGGCGTTGGGAAATTTATTGTCGTTTACACAGGAGAATTCTCTAAATGTAGACAAAATCATACAGTGTGTTAGAGATATCTTTGCGATGTCTACAAAGTCATTGGATCAAATTTCTCGTTGTGGTGCTTTTCACCATTTAGTAAGAAGAAAGGCAGCTTTAGCTGACACAGGCTTACATGATCTTAGAGACATTAAGGATCATTTATGGACACTTCCTTTGTCCCATACAGGAGTGTTTGGGGATGGTATGGAAAAGAAGTTAAAAGATAGGAAAGAGATGAATTCTCAATTGTCAGATCTTTTACCAGAGGTAGGGCGCAAGAGGAAGTTTCCAGATTCTACCTCTTCAAATCAGTGGAAGAGACCACGGTTGCCTAATCAGACTTTTGAAAGTCGTCCTGCCAGGAGTCAATTTCCGAGCTACAGACAGCCACAGAGGCCCAATAGTAGTAATTTTACCATACCTAAGGTGGTAAAATCACAGCCTAAAACATCTAATGTAAGTAGTACTTTTCGTAACAAATCAACATGACTTGTTAATGATTCATCCACAGATACCTGTTGGGGGCAGGCTAAAACAGTTTTATCCAAAATGGTTAGAAATAACAGAAGACCAATGGGTTCTAGATATAATAAAGGAAGGTTACAAGTTAGAATTTGTAGAAATTCCAAAGTTCAATGGGGTATTTAGTGATTATTCTAGCGCGGAATGACAGGGCGCTCCGCCCTGCCCCTTTTTAGGTCCGCCCTTTTGCCTCTAAAACACCGCCCGTATACTGAAATGCGCCCCGCTGCCCTCTTTTACCTGTACCCAATCAATATGTATAAGATAGATCTACATAAAAAACCTGTCAATCACTTATCTATAAGACAAGATCATGATGTTGACACGTTCCAATATACAAACCTGGTGCCCCACGGCGATAACAATTGACTGACCGATGTGAAGTGGGCCGTGTGAAGCGGCCCCATGTGAAGTGGTTTCGATCAAATTAGCTATGTTTGCAACAGTTTCAAATGATTTGTAAGGAACATTACCGACTGATTGATAATCCGTGGTCATTAACTGATTAAAATGGCAATGATTTACGGAGACAATCAAATTGTAATGCATTCGCTTATTTGTTTGTTCACCAATGTCGCGTATGTCGGTAAAAATTCGTATACTGTACAACTTACAAGTACAGGTAATTACAATTAATTATTTACACATATTAATCTCTATAATTGCGTAAAGAATCTTTAAAGTCATAAGGATGGGTGTTATGGTTTCATTAATTAGTTGTTCATTTGAGAAACAAAATGCCGTCTGCGAAAAGGAAATTTGCAGAAATTGAAAAAGAGCATGCGAAAATTTGCAAAACAAACCACAGTATTTCCTCTTTTTTGGAGCTAAAGAAAGGTACGATAAAAGTCATTTACATTTGCTAAGAATCGATTTTAAATGTGTTTCTCCCTTGCAATTTAACATTTATATAAAAGGAGGTGAATGAAATAATTTGTGTACGAAGCCACTACACTAGCAGTACGGCCCTGGACTGAAGTACGGTCCTGTACTGCCGTACTGCAAGCCGTTCGTTACATCTATAGACTGTTTAGACTAATCGTACGGTAATTTTACAGAAAATAAACAAAGACAATTATGAGTAAGCGAATATTTGTCTCTAGCTGTAAGACATTTTAATGAATTGAATGAATTATTAATCTACAGATTAACCGTTTTTCTGCGGTTGAAAGTCGGGAGATTTTTTTTTATGAAATAGTACAGTAAACAACTACTGTACAGTTAGAATCTATTAGTTACCTGTAAAATCATATGTGAAATATAATTATAAATTGCAAGATAATGACAATTTGTAATCAATTTCAATCAATTCGAAATTAGATTTACTTTATAAAGATAAAATCGTTGGTTTTTCTTTGAACATCTCTGTACAGAGTACAGTACATGATATTTTTTTTAGCTAAATGTGACTGTTATTGTGAAATATAAAAGATGACTGAAGTAATTTCAATAACTTGAAATTGTTTTATAACCCAAATTTAATTAGAAAATTAACCAGTCTTTCTATATTATTACAGAGTGACCTAAAGTAACGAACCAATTATCACTGCTCAAAGTACAGATTCAAATAATGAAACAAATTCCAAGTTATGAAAGTTTTTAACATGGAACCTTAAAATTTACATAAAATGTGACAAAGTAAATGTAGCCCTGCAATAAAGTCATTGATACAAATATATACAGACAGTACAATTCTTTCATTGAAATATAAATCTATAAAAATAGGACAGAGGACAGTCATGAGAAAATCACTTTTTTGCCAGGGTGGCATACAGAACTATTCACCTTCTTGAGGTACATGCAGCTATTATTTCAGTCACAAACAGTTCTTAGTTTATCTGTCTTGGTTTTAAGCTGTGCCACTTTTTAACAGTTCTCTCAATGTCTAGGTATTTATCACTTCTGTGAATCATAAGAAGCTGATGCACACTATTGACACTATCACCATAAATATAGAAAATAAACACCACACTGAACCAAGTAACCAGAAAGTGTTGAGATAAAGGGAGGTAAATAATCTATTGATAAGATATGAGTTATCTGACCATGATTATCATAACGGTCATAAACTATCTGTATTGACACATGTTCCACCCTGCCCCTTTTTGATGCCTCCCTGCCCCTTTTTCAAGTCTAGAATAATCACTAGTATTGGAAACAAGAGTCCCCCCAAAACAATTAGATATTATACTGCAGGAGGTAGATACATTAATAAAAAAACATGCTATAGAAGAAATACCTCCAGACCAGGTCAAACAAGGTTTTTACAGTACGCTTTTTCTTGTTCCAAAGAAAACTGGAGATCTAAGGCCAGTTATAAATCTAAAGCCCCTAAACAGGTATCTGAAACATCAACATTTCAAAATGGAGTCTTTAAAATCTGTTCTAAATTTGGTTCAGAAAGGAGATTATGCAATTTCGATAGATTTGAGCGACGCATACATGCACATCCCTATATATTACCCTCACAGGAAATACCTAAGTTTTTCTGTTCAGGGCAAGGCATATCGATTTCGAGCACTACCATTTGGCCCCAAGTCTGCTCCTCGAACTTTCACCAAGCTGGTTACAGTAATAGCAGCTTATGTAAGACAACAGTGGGGGTTTCGTCTAGCAGTCTATTTGGACGATTGGCTCGGGCTAAATGCAGTCAAAATACAGCTTGTTCAAAATCTATCGAGATTGCTGGATCTTCTTATGCAACTAGGCTTTATAATAAATGTCAAAAAAATCTCAACTGTGTCCAGCTCAGAAAATTACTTACATAGGGGGCTGTTTCAATTTAGAAAAGGGAACAGTTACACCGACACCAGACAGACATCACAAAATTGTGCAGTTTGTTATGGCAATTCAAAAACAACAGATGGTCACAGCCAAAATTTTGTTACAAATTCTGGGTTTGATGGCATCATGTATAGAACTGGTTCCGAATGCAAGGTTATTTATGCGTCCAGTGCAATTACATCTACTTCATTATTGGCGACCCATTTCTCGGGATCTCAATTTCAAAATACCAGTTACAAATCATTTGATAGGTCACCTTCAGTGGTGGTTAGTCCCAGCCAATATTTTCAAGGGCAGATCTTTTCTACCATGGAAAACGGACAAGGTTCTCCAAACAGATGCTTCGATGATAGGCTGGGGGGCTTGCATGGAAAATCATTTAGTGCAGGGACAGTGGTCTCAAAGCCAAAAGAATCTGCACATAAATTGTCTGGAGATGGAGGCAGTGTTTCTTGCTTTGAAAAAATTCAGCCATCTGTTAAGAGGTCAAAATGTCATGATACGGTCAGACAATACAACCGTAGTACAAATATATAAACAAAACAAGGGGGAACACAAAATCGCCTTACCTTTGTCTCCAAACTTGGAGTTTATGGAAATTTGCTCTACAAAATCAAATGAATTTGAAAGTAGCCCATATCGCAGGCAAATTAAATGTAGTACCCGACAGTCTAAGTCGAATGAAAATTCAGCCAACGGAATGGAGTCTGAATCAGTCAGTTGTTCAAAACAATATTTCAAATTTGGGGTGTTCCGAGCATAGACCTTTTTGCATCAGCCCTCAATCGGAAAACTCAGATATTCTGTGCCTGGATCCCACACCAAGAAGCATATGCAATAGATGCTCTCTCAGTTTCATGGGAGAACATGTATGCTTATGCTTTTCCCCCAATTTGTCTCATTCCCAGTGTTCTTCATCATATGAAACAGTTTCATTGCAAACTGATTCTAATAACTCCATTCTGGCCACGACGCCTATGGTTTCCAGAGTTATTGAATCTGTCGGTAGCTCAACCGTTTCGTCTTCCATTGGTTACAAATCTGTTACAACAACCAAAATCTCAGATATGCCATCCAAATCCAGGTGTTCTGAAACTGACTGCATGGTTGCTATCGACAGACAGTTTAGAGAAAAAGGTTTTTCAAAATCAGTTAGGAAACTTCTTACAGCCAGCTGGAGAACTGGTACTCAGAAAGATTACTCCAGTAAATTTAGACAATTTATGATATGGTGTCGTGAAAAGAATATTGACTCTTTGACAGCTTCCTTAAATAATTGTGCTGAGTTTTTATCAGATCTGTACAATAAAGGTTTACAGTATCGTACAATAGCAGGTTACCGCTCTATGTTATCTGCAGTTTTACCTCCAGTAGATAACACTCCTATTGGTCAACATCCATATGTTATCAGATTATTAAAAGGAGTATTCAATTTAAAACCTCCTCTAACAAAGTTGTTGCCTGAATGGGATTTGCCTAAAGTTCTTGGTGCGCTACAAAAATATCCTTTTGAACCTTTGAGAAAAACATCAATTAAATTTTTAACATATAAAGTTGTTTTCTTATAGCTATCACGACATTCAGGAGAGCCAGTGACCTTCAAGCGCTAAAATTAGGAGAAGGAGCTATATCTGTGAAGGCAGATGGGGTAACTTTTATCAGACAAGGTTTGGCTAAACAGGATAGACCTGGTCATTCATCAGCAAAAATTTTTGTACCAGCTTTCAAGACCAACAAATTACTTGATCCTAAAAGAGCACTTGCTATCTATCTAAAAGAACTGAATCTTTCAGACGTTCTAAAGGTAAAGATGAAACAAGTTTATTTCTGACAATAAAATGTACCTCATTCTAAAGCTTCTTCACAAACTTTGGCTTCATATATTGTTAAAACTATTCAAGAGGCTTATGAAGATAAACATAAAAAAGTGTAACAGCACATTCTACAAGAGCTTTAGGTCCCTCATGGGCACTTTTTAAAGGTGCGTCAATGAAATCAATTCTCGATGCTGCAGATTGGTCAAGAGAAAACACCTTCGTCAAATTTTATTTTGAAACAAGTTACTCCAAGTGTTCTCACTGTGTAGTTAAACGTCACTATAGTTCAACGTTAGAAGATTGAAATTTTCCAAATATATTTTTAATTCAAAGTTTATTCCCGACGGATTTTGTGGGAAATTGATTTTTGGATAATTATACTGTTTAGTATACATGTATTATATGGGATATAAAGAAGTTTTATGAAAGAGGTTCTTCAAGAAGAAGAATGTTTTAAAATATAAAAGAAGAAGAAAAGAGAGAAGTCTTTTGTTCAGAGATTGTTTTTATGATCTTCAAGAAAGAAGGCAGAAATACATCACCACTTCCGGAGGTGAGTACTGCTTAAAAATCTATCCTAATGTAATGTACTATCAGGTGAGTATAAATCACGAAATGAAATTATAAAATTTGTTTTCAAGTTATAATTTTATGAGTGGATTTATACTCACCTGATAGGTTCCACCCTCCTCCCCTGATGTATTTCTATAAGTTATACTAGGTTCACGTTTTTCACTTATAGAATAAACTGGGGTTCTGTAGTTCTTCTACAGAGCGTCTAATGATCATGTGATGATCAGTGTAGTTAGACGCTTGGTTTTTATTAGGCGGATTGAACGTAATATGCGGAGATAAATCCTAATGTAATGTACTATCAGGTGAGTATAAATCCACTCATAAAATTATAACTTGAAAACAAATTTTATAATTTGATCAAGGAAAATAAATGTTTACTACATGTAGTTGTTTTCAGTAGGAATATGTTGACTATAGTCAAGCAAAATAGAAGACTTCACACAAATTAAAAAAGATATTATTATTTAATTTCAGTGTTAGATGCCCACCCACTGCTGTCTTCCTTCCAGATCATGCTGTTAGAACATATTGTGATGTGTCGGCTGATCATGGGTAACAAAACTACAGCCATACAAGAGGTAAACTATTACGCTGCTTACTGAATAGAACATTCTTTATACCAAAACAATTCATCAAGTGCAAATGTTGATAATAAACAGAGGTCCCCTGTAATGAGCCAGCTCAGTTTACTTAACATGAGTTATTCTGTTTAAGTATTTTGATCCTGATCACCCCTTAATTTTTAAAGGTCTGTTTCATGTTCACAGAAAGGGCAAATCCATTTCATAAATGAACAAGCTAAATTTAGCTGTTACTGCATTAATGCCTTAACTGCTTTCCTTGTCATATGTTATATTGATTAATATTTAATTTAGATCTATTCTATACAGGATTTATAAATAAAGATATCAAAAGATTGCAAATATTACTGTATTAACTCAACTTTTTGAAGAAAAAATGTGAAGCTATTGTCATGACCCTACCATTAGCATTCTAAAATATTTTTACAAGATTATGCCTCTTTTATATGAGAAGGCCATGCAGAGCAGTAATCCAATCAAATGGCCACCACTTGTGATACTAAAGTGAAATATGCACCCTATATTTTTCTAAAAAGCCACATGTGTTATCCTGAATTATTGCCCATAACAACTTAACAGCTGTTCCGCTTCAACAGTGTGCCAGCTTATTCTTTTTTTGGCACAAAACTGATGTTGAATGAACAAATTTTCATAATCACAGAAAATATTTACCATTTGACCTTATGAAAGTATGAATATATTATTCTTCCACATTTTCAGATATTTCAAGCTTGCCATGTATGTCAATCACAACCAAGACTTTTTTCAACCCATGGTTCACAGATCCATACTCTACTTGTATGTCATAATTACTTAACATATAATACAGATTGTGATAAGTACTGATAACTTTTCTGAGTAGATAGCTTCTAAATATATAAACATACAATGTTTTACTATATGAACTTATGAAGTAAATTTATTAATCTTGTAGGTTAAGAGTAGGCTATGTATACAAAATAATTGAGCTTTCCATCATGTTGACAAAGTCTTAAAGTGCTTTATGACATGTTTATATATTACATTTTTTGTATGTCATGTAAATTGTTATTAATTTTTCAAGGTCAAGTAATGCCAGTGAACTTTATGCTTGTATGATACATTGTCATTATTACATATGTGAACTGTATGCTTGTATAGTACAGTGTCTAAATGTAATGTCTGTGAACTGTCTGCTTGCATATAGAAGGTTCTTTATTTCATGTCTGTATGCTTGTATATTACAGAGTTTTTATTCCATGTCTGTGGGGTGTGTCTTTGAGTATTTCATAATCTACATGACATGTCTGTGAACTGTATGCTTGTGTATTACAGGGTCTATATGCCATGTCTGTGAACTGTATGGAGGCGGCAGAAGCTCAGTTTCTAACAGCACTAAAGGTTTGTATCTGAAGAAAAAAAAAATCTAGCTTAAATTTGAAGTTCTTCTCTATATACAGTTTAATTTATTTCCTAGTTTATTTATATATGTATGATAAGGCTAGCAGAACCATAAAAAAAAACAATCTTTTTTTCAGCTACAGGTTTAAAAATAAGTACAGATGAGATCATTCTTTTTCATCTTCACCTGGTTGCTGTATAAGTTTGTAAAATATACAAAAACTATGTGCACAAAAAGAAGAGAAGTTAATCTTTTGATGTTGAAGCAAAATATGATAGCTTGCTGATAACTTTGTAAGGTAAAGAAAGATAAAGGCATGTCATGAATAAATTACAAAGTAGATGAATATCTGTTATAAGTAATGATGAAATATCTGTTATATTAAAAGACCAAGAGTGTTATTGTTTGACATTATTTCTGTATTCAGAAATCAGAAAGTACAGACCTGTCATTATTCATCAATATGAATTTAGCCATTGTATTCCTACGCATGGGAAGACAAGATGATTTTCTTGGACTTCTGGAGAAAATTGATCCAGAAAAAATGGAACAGTCAAAGTAAGTTTTTAAAAGTTATTGAATTAGACATGTATAATCAATTATTCTGAATATGCAAAATGAAGATGTTTGTCAATGTAAGAAATAGGCATGAAGAATACACCTCTTATATTTTGTTACAGATCTTTGATGTTTTGAAATATTTTGATGAATAGGTTAATAATGTGTGTATATTTATTATATATACTTTATATAGTGCTAAGTAAAAATGCTCTTCTAAAAGACATAAGTGTGAATAAGTGTAGATCAGTTTATCATTTTGTCAGTGCTTTGTTAATTTTTTCCAAAGCTTGTTAACAAACCAATGTACAATGTTATTTTTAGCTCACATAGTTTGAAAGCAGCAGCATATTATGTACAAGGACTGCAAACTTTCTTCCAGGCCAGATACAATGAAGCTAAGTTAGTTCTTATTTTATACTTGACTTTCGTATACATTTTGATAGAATTGAATTTTCAAAGTTCTTATAACATAGGAATGCAACAATTGTTTTGACCTTTAAATAGATGCTTGTATAAATGTACGTGAATGGTACCATAGTGGTTTACATGTCTGCCATGTAATCAAGGTATTATGTGCTTTAATACTTATACAATCATTACCATAGGCCTTTATCTTCCATAAATGTTCAACTGAAACAAAGAATCTTTTTGATTTATTTACGCTTAAAATAGAGAAGAAATGATGAGTACCTATAGATGATATCATATAACAAATGTCAAAGCTCTAAGCCTTGTACCTTCAGTCAAGAAGGTATTTTTAGTTTTTACTATATGTATATAGTGAAAATCAATGACCCCCGGGGTGGGGCCAATTTTGACACAATATGAGCCTTTACGTAATCATTTACTCATTAGGAAGTTTCGATAAGGAAAGAAATATAAATATATGTGATATACCATTTTCAGACGTTACCTTCGTGAGACATTAAAAATGGCAAATGCTGAAGATTTAAATAGACTGACATCATGTTCTCTGGTGTTGCTAGGACACATTTTCTTGTCACTAGGCAACAGTAGGGTGAGTGGTTTTCTGAGTCTATTATATTATCAAATTGTTCCTTTGGAAAGGTGACTGGTACCTACTAAATTAATCATTGTTGAGAGCAATAAACACCATTTTATATATTATTAACATGTAAGTTATTTATTTTTAACAAATTATTTTTTATTATCATTAACAATTACTTAAATTTAAGACTATTTGACATATAGACTATTTACCATTTTGGGATATTTGCAAGTTTTATTATTTTTATATCCATGTGAAGTAGTGTGATAAAAGTTTATTTGGTATACATGTTTATATTATAGTAAAACTTTTCATTTCAGGAGTCATTAAACATGGTTACCCCAGCAATGCAGCTGGCAGGTAAAATACCTGACGTACATGTACAATTATGGGCCTCATCACTTCTCAAAGGTAGCTTTACATTCTATAAGATTTTTCATAGTACAGTGAGAATTGTGATAAAGTCAGCTCTTACATTTTTCTGTGTTAGTACACATGTGCAGTATAACAGCCTCATCACCATTCTCATGTATAACACACAGAGAAAAGTAAAGCGAATATATAACAGCCCAATACCTGTGGTTAGGTTACACTATTTTTAGATTTTTCAAACTGGTTTGGTTCAGAGTCCCCATAATCAGAATATCAAATTTGCCATAATGTTCACTGATGAATATGATTTAGCTGGACAAACATGATGATATATGTTGCTAATTGTTTGTTTGTTTGTTTGTTTTTGTTTATACATCAAGTTTAACGCATATTTGGACAAATCAGTCCAGGAAAATGTCTTTCCTGGATAACTAAGCAGTAATTACCAATTTCTCTGCAAGTGACCATTTACTTACCCCAAATGATTTCTAAATCAATGGTGAGAGACAAATGACTATTAGACTCAATGTTAGAGATCAGTTGTCACAGAGAAATTTTACCTTTGTACATCATTTCAACTACTAGCTGTCATCAACCATCTATGACTTAGCTGGCTAGTTTGCTCAGTTGTAAGATTTCAGAGTTAGTCAGCCAACAGTATAGAGCCTGGTTAGACTGCACAGATTTTGGGGGCTGGCCTGGTTTCATACATGTGGTTACAACGACTCAATTTTAGTTCCAGGTTTTTGTTTTACTATTAAGCACTGAGTATAATTTAGCATGTTGTCCTTCTGACAGCTCCTGTTAAATCTTGCTATTTATAGATCTGTCAATATGTGTCAATTTTTTTTAGATGAGAATAGTTTGGCATGTTGTCCTACTGACAGTTCTTGTCAATTTTTGCTATTTATAGATCTGTCAATTTTTGCTATTTATAGATCTGTCAATTTTTGCTATTTATAGATCTGTATCAGATGTCAGGTGACAAAGCAAATGAGGAGGAAGGTTGTAGATTACACACCAGTTTCTCTGCCTCACTTCTCAAAGATCTCTTCCAGTCTACACAGCTGTCAGAACATGGCCTTATACAGGTATATCAGTTAAAACATAGGTGATGTGTTTGACTATGTATCATTTTCCACTGTTAATTGTGGATGGAATAAGGACAGGGATAATTGTTTTCTTTTCAATAGCCTTGCTTTGGAAGAAGTGGTTTAAATAAAATTCATGTACAGTGAAGTCTTAGATGATACACTGTGGTCTTTTCTGAACAAGTAGAAGGTTTAGTGGTTAAATTTGCTGACTTAAGTTTTATTCATCAAGCTCATGGAAGATCGATGGTTTTATTGATGCCTTCACTTAAAATGACTGTAGGTCTGACTCCATTAAGAAACTTTTGTTATGACCTTTTCAGGGTGTTGCTGTTTAAAACATACTTTCAGAAAAAAGTGTAAGAGAAGTTGAAATCAGGAAAAAGAAGTTTTTGCTTAATTTTGAGTTCTTACAGATACCAATTAAACAAATACTTGATGTTTATTTTGTCATTCATGTACAGGTATATTCTTTTTTTTAAATGATATCCTTGTTATTTACTTTCAGTGGACAGAAGGACCTTGTCCATTCCACTTGAATACATCATCAGCCAATGCTATAATGTGAACACAGATTATTGTATATAAACAGTTGCTTGGTGCCATGATAAACAGCCTTACATACAACATGATTTACACCAATATATCTTCAGTTGGGTGCTGAGCATGAGGATCATAATGCTAGTACAGTGTTACACAATCATACAACGTCCCATTATATCATTACATACACCATGTGCAATATTGTTGAACTTTTTTTACTAACAATCTCTTCAGTGACTGTAGATAAAAGAAATCTATATGTTGAATGAATAAATTAATGGTTTTATGATTTTACTAGGCTGTTTTACTTTTTGTATGTATACACTGATAGTGACTTTTATATGCCACTAAGACCAGCCTTTATATTGTTAACTCCCTAGTTGAAGCAATTTTGATATGAGAATATATTTTCTAAACAATAGACACGTCTTATTTTATTATTAGGTCAAGTGTATTATACAAATTTAACAGAAAGATAAAAATATTGTAAGAAGCAACTTGTCAATGCCTGCCCTGAAAAAGTTTATATGAGCTGCGTCACGACAAAACCAACATAGTGGGTTTGCGACCAGCATGGATCCAGACCAGCCTGTGCATCCGCACAGTTTGATCAGACAGTGCAGATGCGCAGGCTGGTCTGGATCCATGCTGTTAGCTTACCATCTCTATTACAAGTAGAGAAACTGATAGTGAACAGCATAGATCCTGATCTGTCTGCGCGGATGCGCCGGCTGGTCTGGATCCATGCTGGTCGCAAACGCACAATGTTGGTTTTGTCGTGAAAAGGCCCATATTCTTTGATATATTATTGTTTTTATAATGGTTTAATGACTTACTATTCTTTTATAAACTAATTAAATAATAAAATGTTACTATCTGATATATATTTAATATGTATTAAATCATCATCAGACCAATTCTAGTTTAGTAAAAATAAAATGAAAATTAAGATTATTAAATTGCAGCGATGCATGTACTAGTTCTAGAGGATTAAAACATTGTTTCTAAACCAGTCTTGTTCCCTTGTCAGCTGTCTTTTAAGATTTTGATGGTATTGAAGAACAGGTCTCAATTTTAGGGTTTTATTTTTTGGGAGGGGGAGGGAGTTTATGAACAGGTATTAATCTAGTAACATGTTAATTAAAACAAACCATATTTTTAAGCAATTGAAGAACGCTATACCAAAAAATGTCAACCAGTGTTTAGATTTGCTTACCTCCAGGTTACTGTTACTATATTTTGATTGACAATATATAAAAACTTTTCTCAACAGTCATAAATTGTCAATTGTACAACAGCCTTAAACATATACAAGTACTATACAACTGCCGTAAGCATAAACTATACTCGACTTACAGATTGCATGTTACATTTTTAATCTTGACCAAACTGTTCTTCAGTTTTAGGGAAAATATAAAACATGTATGTATACAGTAGATTGAAGAGGGAACAAAGCAAGTCATGAAAGATGGCACTAATGTTGGTTGTTCTTGGTCTATCTACATTTTTGCTTGGATAAAACCAGTATCTGCCAGCAGGCTAATGGGTAATCAGTTATGGAGTAGAAATATGCTGATAAATGACTAGTAGTCAATCTTGTCATATTATGTAATAATCATGCAAGACTTCACAGTAATTGTGAATATTGAATTATTAATAAATGTCTTGAACTTCAATGTATTTTTAGCTCACCTGTCAAAGTGACAGGGTGAGCTTTTGTGATCGCTTTTCGTCCGTCGTCCGTCCGTCCGTCGTCCGTAAATTTTTTTCTTTAAATGACATCTCCTCATAAACCACTAAGCCAATTTCATCCAAACTTCACAGGAATGTTCCTTTGGTGGTCACCTTTAAAAATTGTTCAAAGAATTTAATTCCATGCAGAACTCTGGTTGCCATGGCAACCGAAAGAAAAAACTTTAAATATCTTCTTTTAAAAAACCATAAGAGCTAGAGCTTAGATATTTGGCATGAAACATCTTCTAGTGAGTGTCTACCAAGTTTGTTCAAATAAAAGCCCTGGGGTCAAAATTGGCCCCGCCCCGGGGGGTCATTGATTTTCCCTATATGCATATAGTAAAAAGTTAAAAAATCTTCTTTTAAAGAACCCAAAGAGCTAGAGCTAAGATATTTAGCATGAAACATGTTCTAATGGGTGTCTATCAAGTTTGTTCAAATAAAAGCCCTGGGGTCAAAATTGGCCCCGCCCCGGGGGTCTTTGATTTTCCCTATATGCATATAGTAAAAACTTAAAAAATCTTCTTTTAAAGAACTCAAAGAGCTATGGCTAAGATATTGAGCATCAAACATGTCCTAATAGGTGTCTACCAAGTTTGTTCAAATAAAAGCCCTGGGGTCAAAATTGGCACCGCCCCAGGGGGTCAATGATTTTCCCTATATGCATATAGTAAAAACTTAAAAAATCTTCTTTTAAAGAACCAAAAGAGTTAGAGCTAAGATATTTAGCATGAAACATGTTCTAATAAGTGTCTACCAAGTTTGTTCAAATAAAAGCCCTGGGGTCAAAATTGGCCCCGCCCCGGGGGGTCATTGATTTTCCCTATATGCATATAGTAAAAACTTAAAAAATCTTCTTTTAAAGAACTCAAAGAGCTATGGCTAAGATATTTAGCATCAAACATGTTCTAATAGGTGTCTACCAAGTTTGTTCAAATAAAAGCCCTGGGGTCAAAATTGGCACCGCCCAGGGGGTCATTGATTTTCCTTATATGTGTATTATAGCAAAAACTTAAAAATCTTCTTTGAAAAAACCCAAATAGCTAGAGTTAAGATATTAAGCATGAAACATCTTTTAGTGAGTGTCTACAAAGTTTGTTTAAATAAAAGACATGGTGTCAAAATTGGCCCCGCCCCGGGGGTCATTGATTTTCTTTATATGTGTATAGCAAAAACTTGAAATCTTCTTTGAAAAAACTCAAATAGCTAGAGTTTAGATATTAAGCATGAAACATCTTCTAGTAAGTGTCTACAAAGTTTGTTCAAATAAAAGCCCTGGGGTCAAAACTGGCCTGGCCCCAGGGGTGTCATTGTTTTTAACTATATGTGTATAGTAAAAACTTTAAAAAAAATCTTTTTTTAAAAAGCCCAATGATGAGCTAGAGCTTAGATGTTTAGCATGAAACATCTTCTTATGGGTGTCTACCAAGTTTGTGCAAATAAAAGCCCTTGGGTTAAATTGGCCCTGCAACATTGGGGGGGGGGGTTGGGGGGGCCTATATACAGGTGAGCGACCTCAGGGCCATCATGGCCCTCTTGTTATATTTTTTTTTGAATTGATTGTTAGATCATGTAGAGATAAGTAGGTTTAATTGTTACTAGTTTATAATGATGATGGAAATGCATGTTTCTATCAAGCATGTTTTATATTGATGGGGACATTTCTGTAAAGGTCAGGTTTTAAATAACGCCACTCCAGTTTTAAGATGTCTGTGGACTGGAAAATTTTCTTTGATATTTTGTATACCATTTGATGATGTGTTAGACCATTAACTTGTCTGCACATTCCAGATCATCTGCTGGCACCGTTTTCCAAAATACATGTTATCCCTTTACTGTGCAAAATCACATGAAACAACGCTTTTAACTCAAATCGTGCTTGGAATCTACTAGATTATAAATATTGATTAAATTATGCGTTTTTTTTCTTTTTACATATTTTGTTTCCGTTTTAAGTTCTACAGTTGATCTAAGTATGAATTTCAAATTTTATGTTTTAAGCTGTTGAATCTAACAGAACAGGGTTCCTTTTACAAAATTAAGTTTACATATCTTAATTTAATTTGATGTAACAGCGTTGAAAAATACCTGTTTTTGAGAAATTTTGTATGTACATTAATCTAAAAAGAAATGTCAAAACGATGATCGCTTTGTTAAAATGTTTATGGATTTTTTCTGACTTAGTGAAAGGTAAACATTTTGCTGCAAGCAAATGTAATATATACATTATATTATAGCCAATGAATTAATACCTAATGTCATGAATGTTGCAGTCATGTTTTTGTATTGTAATGTAATAAATGTAGTACAATTGATTATGGAATAAAGATACACAAAATCATTCTTTTTATTATATTTTCTATACTTTAAATTTGCTGATTCATTTTCATAAAAAAGTGGTGCAATATATTTTTAATTGTATTTCAACTGTCCATGATGACATCTATCCGGCACAAGACAAATTTATCAATCCTCCATGCAAGTAAAATACAACATTTTAAGTGTATTCTGTGCTTTTTAGCTCGACTTTTCTATGAAAAGGGGAGCTATCCTACTCGCCCCGGCGTCGGCGTCGGCGTTGGCGTCACACCTTGGTTAAGTTTTCGTACCACCCCACTTTATTTCAGAAGTATTACAAGTATGGCTTTGAAACTTACCATACTTGTTCACCATCATAACCTCCATCTACAGACAAGAGTACATAACTCTGTCAAGGTTTTTGACAGAATTATGGCCCTTTTTTGACTTAGAAAGTGTATTGAGCTTGGTTAAGTTTTTTGTACCACCTCACTTTATTTCAAAACCATTGGAGGTATTGCTTTGAAACTGACCATACTTGTTTACCATCACGACCTTCATCAACAGACAAGAGGACATAACTCTGTCAAGGTTTTTGACAGAATTATGCCCCTTTTTGACTTAGAAAATACATTGAATATGGGTAAAATCCACTTATTGCCTTAACCCTTTGAGATATTGCTTTGAAACTTTTAATGCTATTTCACATCATTACCCCCATCTGTACGCAAGAGAAGGTAACTCTGTCAAGGATTTGTTTTAAAAATTAAGGCCTTTTATCGACTTAGAATCTTGGTTAAGTTTTTAGTACCAGTCCACTTTTTGACTGAACTGTTTGAGATATTAATTTGAAAGTTGGAATACTTGTTTACAATCATGATTCCCAAACATGTCCAGGAGAAGGTAATTCTGTCAAAGATTTTATTTGAATTATGGCCCTTAACTGTCAATGTTTTGTATTATAGGCAAGCACTAAAAAACTTAAAAAATCTTTTGACTTAAACATTTCAAACTTTGCTGCAGTGTTCAAGGGTATCACACAATTCAGTAAAATAATTCTTCACTAAATATCTTAATGCTCATGGCCATTGTTCACTTTAAAAATACAGAGATTCTTGTATTGCCTTTTACTGCAAAAACTTTTTTTATTGGCAAGCAATAAAAAAGTCGAGCGCGCTGTCTTACGGACAGCTCTTGTTACCTCACTTTTACTTCGCCTAGCGTTTACCATACATCTTTTCACATTTTTAAAGCTCTACCTTTACCACTCGGCATTAGCAATGAAGTTTCTGGCATGAAACCATATCAACGTTGTTCCATTCACGCAAGAACTCTGGTTGGTATTTGCAAGAGAAATGAAAATAATCGTTTGTCCAAAATCACAAGGCCCGCAGATTTTCCCAAAACGGCATTGCAAGGTGGCACTTAAAGATGTGAATAAGACCTTGATTGGAACATGCAGTCTAATAAGGAAGGTTACGGACTCTTGTTAAGTTTGAATTTTAAGATACTCATGTCTGAACCTCAATTCAGGTGGGTTGAGATGCGATGGGGGTCAGCATTGTGTTGACGTTTGACCTCTTTTAACAGCACCAGTGTTTCTACTTTCAATACAGACGGATTCTTTTACTTGAAATCAAGGCTTATAGCACCAATGACCTTCACTACGAAAATGTTATGCACTGTGGTCAATTTTTGATCAACGTGATGAATTAGCTCCTTAATTACGCGTCAAATTTATCGCATACACTAGATGATTTAAAAAGTGGTTTTATACTGTGTTTGTTTAATCAGATAGATCCAAATAGTCTTAAAGCAATATCTCTGTATTTAGCACTACTGAAACTTTAAGAGAAAGATGTAATAGCATTTGTGCCAGCTTCTCTTCAGACAGGACAAACAAAGGATTTCTGAATAATTAGAACTACATATGAAGTATTTAAAGTATTTCGCTAAAACAAAGATTACCTGTTTCTTTGGTTTAAAACAAATTTAGACAGCGATTTTAGATAGTAATACAAAACTTTACAAATTTATCAAAAAAAAGTTCGGAAGCGAGCACAAGCTGCATAAACACCATTAAAGACCCTGTATGTTTTGATGAAAGTGGTAAACCACACTAAGTGAAATTATATATCTGTACATAATTATGCAAAATAAAATAATTTTCAAACATCGAAGAATATGTAAAATATGTACTGCAAATATTTGTACATATTATATGTAATCATTAGAATATATGCATTCATTTCTTATTGTAAAATTTGACTTAAATTTTATAGAAAATAAATTTTTATTACCTCCCTTTATTTACATGAAATGTTAAATTCGGCAATATCTTTATAAATAATGTTAAATCATTGTGGTTCTTAATAAAACATAGTTCTTGTCGATGCCAATGCTCTGTTATCTCTGTGTCACACTGAATGACACTTCTAACGCAAGACTTCAATAATATGGTGCCTATCATTCTGAAACATCACTAACTAATTTATCTTCATAGTGCAAAGGAGTTAAATGGAATCACTCATTCGTGACAGATAATCTGTTCTACACGTGTCATGTGTATGAATTCAACTTTCTGCACGAGGGAAGTGATGTGAGCGAAAAAATATATTAATTAGAGATCTACATGTAAAATTTGTTTTACGTTAACAACACTGAAAAAAGCTCTGAAACATAAAATTATTCTTACGAAAATG